TACACAGACACGCGCGGTAATATGAACACACATGCACACACAGAGACACATGCACGTGGAGAAACTATGGCAGACTCTTCCCAAATATAGCATCTCTCACCATAAGCCCACGGCACCCAGCGCCCCAAGCCCTGAGAGCAGTGACCATAGCCGGGCTGGGGAGAGACCACAACAGAGACTCTCCGCTCAGGGCCCCAAGCACCAGGGAGCACAAGGAGAGAGATTCGGCCTCAGATCATCACTCATAAGCCAATGCTGGGAAAAGCTGTGCCCGGCCGGGAGGAGAGAGATGGCACGCACTGCAATTCTGTTGTGTGACAAATGCCAAGGGTTTGGACGGAGAAGAACATGAGCTCCAGTCATCCCCATCTGTTGGGGCGGGGCCAGGAGTCTAAGAGGCTGGTACATTTTGGATGCATGGTTTAATGGTGGTTTGGTTGTTCCTAGCCAGGCAGCCCAGGGATTCCACAGAGCTGATCAGCTCCCAGGGGAGCGGGATCTAGGGCCTCACTGACCTTACCAAGCTCCCCACAGTTTTCTGCTGCTGGAAGCAAAGCGGCTTCTTGCTGAGTCACTGAAAACTTTGGCTTTCGAGTGCTTGGAAATTAAGACCCACATTTCCAAAAGCAGCCCCTGATTTCGGGTGCCTGGGTCTCAGTCCTGTGGCTTTTGTGACTCTCTGATCCTGGGGCCAGGGGTTGATTCAGACCCTGGCAGAAGTTAGACTAGCCACAGGGCTAATCTAACTTGCACTGGCTACAAATTAACACTCCAGCCATGCCCCTCCCACAGCCCTGCCCTGGACACACCCTCCAATGCGGGCTGCAAAGGGAGGTGTGAACACTGGCTCTGCACTGCCACGGCTGTCCCCAACTGGCCAGGTGAGCCAGCTCTAAGGCCCCTTGGTGCCACGAGCTGCAGTGGGTGCCAGGAACTGGTGCCTAAATATAGATTAACTTTTGCCACCCAGGTTTGAAAATGTTGGCATAAACCAGCAGCACTGGATCACCTCAATAGCTCAGTTAGAAACTGCTTTACTTCTCTCAGTGGAGAGCTTTAAGGTCCCTGGTTGATTCAGAGGCTGAGGAACTGTTATGCTCCCTGGGAATGGAAGAGGCAGCCTGACAGCTCCCACAATTCAGCCTTCCCTGCATCCATTTTATATGCTTACACTTTAAGCGCTGCCTCAGCAACCTGGCTGACATATAAATCTGTCACCGACAGCTCTGTTGACACTGATCCACCCTGAACGCTGAGCCCATTGATTCACACTTGGGCCAGATCCTCAGCTGGGGTAAATCATTCTAGCTGTGTTGAAGTCAATGGAATGACACTGATTTATACCAGGAGGGGTTATGGCCCATTGTACTCAGCTGTCTGAGTGATCCTAAGCAGGTGGGACCTGGGGGGGTGAGGCCTGGAAATTGTTCTAATGGCTGAAATGTTTCTCTTCTTTTCAAAATGTTGGAAAGGGTCCTGAATGACAGCTCATCAGTTCTCAGCTACATACTGGAGAGCTGGAAACTCTACAGAAAAGCTTTTCTGCCCTAAATTAATCACCAAAAAATGTGTATCAATAGCTCATACCTGTTGACAATTAAGGGGGGTGTCAAAAAATGCTGATATGGATGACATGCCCATTAACTTGGAGTCACAACTGTGCTTTCATAGTACACACTCGCGCACGCACACACACGTATCCATTCTCCAAGTGAAGGCCATAGCGGTGGCTCTCTGCAAAGCTAACATAAAGCTAACATGCTCACTTTGCTTCGAGAAATGAAATGCTGCAAATGACGCCTTCTCCCATGCTGTGGAGGGACGTTTCTGTATTTGTCAGTTGCCCTTACTCAGAGGTCTAGGGGAGCACCCCTGTTCTGGCCAGCGCCTCACCACCCACCCTGGAAGGCCCCAGAGACTTAGACATTACAGCCAGGAACAAACAAGAAAATCCCACATGGCTGGAGACATGGGGGAAATGGTCATTATGAATTAGTGCCCTTTGATCTTATGGCCACTCTGGTGCGGCAACATGTTACATCCCTTTGGCACTGGTGTAAACGAGAACACATGGTGCAGGGCAGTTGGCAGTCAGGTCCTCAGGGGCCCATTCACCATTTCCCAATGGCCCCAGGTTGGTGCAAGGGGGTCTGCCGTGCTGAAAGGCATTCATGGCTGCCATCTTGAATCCAAAGCCAATCACAGACCTCGTTAGAGGCAATGTGTGCCAAGCACTCTATTCCAGGCTTCATGGAAACAGCAATCAGGCCTCTTCATGAGCAAAGCCAGTTGCAGAGAGCGCAGGCTCCTGCCCAAGGCCCAGGCTGCACGGCTGGTCAGAGCTGAGCTATGGGCTGTCTGCACAGGCGGGGGCTGTGGTCCAGCTGCAGGCCGGGAGTGTTGGAGCCGGGAAGCCAGCAGAAGCAGTTGTGAGAGGGACCCTGAGAGGAAGCAGAAACAGGGCTTCTTGGGCACAGAACTGGCTGGAGGGGCAGGCATGGGGATTTCTAAGCAAGGAAACTGCTGATGTTTGCTCCTCCTGTGTTCACGGAAACAGGAGTTTGTACGGCCTTGGTAAATAAACCAGATTATACCAAAAAAATTCAGAGGTGACTTGTAGCATCAATTTCTCCTCTCAACAGAAACAACCAGGCTAGGACTAGAATTTGGGCTAAGGGCTTGGGCCAAAGCAGAAAAACAGAGTCACAGAGCAGACATACGGCTCCCCCCTGGGAATTTCCCCAGTGCAGGGAGCTCCTAAACATGGGGCAGAGCCAGCTCTGCCGACAGCAGCCCTAGGTGCAGGGGCTTTGCTGGGGCAGGATGGGGGAGCGAGCCAAGGAAAGGAGATTGGTGTGGCAGTGGCTGAGTGGACCTATGCCCTGATGATTCTGTGCCCATGCGCAGCTTCATAGGAGCCACTGAGGCAGGGATGCAATTTAAGACTGCTCTTGGGACTACCCCAGCCTGTACCAGGGATGCACTGGCCCTGAGACCCCTGAATAGGGCAAACACATACTGCTGCCCCACATCCCAGTGCTGGCACGTGAACGAATCTGCCACTGAGATTTTGACCCCAAGAGATTAAGGAACCAAAACAATGGGGGAAAGTGAACCAGAGAGCTCTGAAGATGGCAGGACGGGTGTGCTCAGGCAGGCAGTACACACCGTTCTCCAGCACCGGGGAATAGATTAATTTTCTGATATTAATGACAATCAGTTCCATTTACTTCACATTTTGGGGCTCTAGGTGTTCCAGCCAGGCTCTACTCTGTGCAGATGTAAATGGACAGCTAAGAGATGACGGGCCGGTACGTTTGCACTCAGGGATATGCAGTGCAGTACCTGGGTATTCAAGGAGCAACGACACTCATTGCTGGGTCCGGTCAATGGCTTCCTCTGTGCAGCCAGCAACAGTGCCATGGCAAAGGATTCGTAAACCACTGGTCAGGCACCCACAGAACTGAGAGACTGGCCCAAAAACTAAGCCACTCGGGTTCTTTTGCCTTTGACGCTTTCAGGGTCGTGTTTTCCAGCTTGCAGTAGAAGCCAGGCCCTTCAAAGGCGGGGAAGTCCCTAATTCCCATTGAATTCGGGGGCAGCAAGGCCCCTTAATACCTCTGAGGCTCTGGACCTAGGTGCTCTGAAAATCATACCCGGCGCCTGTCTGCATCTGTAGACACCTGAACACCTGTCCCAGCGAGTTTACAAATGGACCAGGCTGGACAGACGCTCTCCCATTGCACAGCTGAGGTCCAGAGAGATGCTGTGACTTGGCAAAGGTCACAGGGAGCCCCTGGCAGAGTAAGGAAGTGAACCTCACCCTCGAGGGTCTGTAACCACCAGACTAGCCTCCTCATTAGCACAGCGGCCCTTTGCAACAAAAGATTTACTAGGCTAAAGAGTCTGCCCTGTTCTCTCTGCATCCTTGATTCCTAGGCCCTGCCCAGCAGCAGGAGTGGGGTGGGCGGGCCCAGTTGCAGCTCTTGGCAGCTGTGGCTAACCACCCCTTTGGACCCTGCTTTCTGTCCTCCCATGCCAGCAGTCACAGTTTATCCCCTAGCCAGCCGAAGGCCCCCCTCAGATAGGCTAATTCATTCCCCATTCAAATTAAGTGAACAGCTTTTAAATTTAAACAGAATTAAAAAGCCAACTGGAACCTTAATGGGAACATTAGATTAGCTGAGCCGGGAGCAGAGTGGGGAGGAAAGTCAGTTGGAGTTATTGCTGAGTGATTTCCAAAGAGGCCCATGTGGAATAGAGCCGGAGCGGAGCGGCTGACCCCAGGAGGGGTAATCAATCTGACAGGCTAGGCATACTATGCAAAAAGCAATTACTGAGCCCATCTCCGCCATGGGCACAGCTGAGCAGCTACCCAAGCCGCTGATTACGGCAAATTATTGCACCCACTGATGGCCATGACAGCTTCTGGGAAGCCGGGGCTCAAATTCTGGTGAAGGGCAGCTTGAAAAGGCTTAGAGAGCTTGGGGGCCCAGACCGGGGATGGGAGTGTAGTGTGCTCCCTAGAAGAGGGGCGAGCCTTCTGGGAAGCCAGCCTAAAAAAGGCATGATGGATGGAAGATATTTGTACAGTGCGTGGAAAATGTCTAGTACTATTAAAGTGCTAAAGGGTATGGTCATCAATGATCTATATTACAAACGTGCACAAATCCCAGATATGCACTCTTGTGATACAATACAGAAGGCAAAGCTGTTAATACTCCACTGCCCAAGTACCCTCTACAGGAAAGCGACTGGAGGACCCAGTTTCCCACCCAGCTGCCTGCACTGTTCTAGATAGTGACCGTTAATTTACGAGCCAGAGTCAAATGGAAACATTACCACCCACAGATCAGCCCTGCCCCCAGCCAACATGCCATTATTCCTCACTCCTCTTTATCTGCTCCCCCGTCTAGCAGTGCATGCCCCTATTTCTGGGCACATGGCCACTTACACAGTGCAAACACCACCTCAAATGCCACTTCAAATGTCAAACTTGCCTTTGCGGATCCATGCTCCAGCTTCATCTCTGCAGCGCAGGGCTTGGCTGTCGGAGACTCAAACCGCCAGGGTTCGCCTTCCGATGAGGAAACAAGCCTGAGAGCGAGACAGCGTGTCCTGCTGGAGGATGCAGTTGGGTGCCAACGGAGTCCACACACACCTCAGCATCCCATTGATCTCTCTTTGTTCCACTCCCTCCCCCCAGCCTGCCTCTGCACAGCCCTGCAATTGCATACACACTCTGAAGGGGGGTCAGGGGGGGCGAAACAGCCTAATTTCCTGATGATTATGATGTTACCTAGCAACAACCAATCAGGGGCTGGGCTTTTCGCCAGCAGTATTTCATGCAAATAGTTTGGAGAAATTGCAGGGTCGTCCAGGCTGCTTAGCCTCCTCTCAGGGGACACATTAGATGCTCAGATAAGCCCTGGCAGGCACATGGAGCCACGGGGCCCATGCCTCCCAAAACAGCCTGCGCTCCCCCACACAAAGGCTTCCTAGCCAGGCCTGGCACAAGCCTGACCTGCATCACAGTACTGAGGCTGCAGGAGACCCCTTACATCACCCAGCCCTTTCCCCAGGACCAGTGCCCACCATGCTGCCTCAAGCATGCCCAAACTAGCCACCCATGCAGGGGAATTCCCTGCTCAAGGCTCCTGTTGCTGCCACAGACTCAAATGCCAGCGTGAGCAGGTCACACAGATGCCATCTCAGCGGAGCTCTCCTCACCTCACCCCTCCCACAGGCTCAGCCCCGCTCACCGCTCACTGGCCTGGGCCCCACTTGCCCCCTCTCAGCGGCCTGCTTTGCAGACCCTGTTCATTGCGTTTGAGGTCTCCAGCGGGAAACAATGGGCCGGATTCTGCCCTCAGCACCTCCAGCGTCTGAGGCACAACATAGCCTGTTCTATGTTTACACGCTGATCCTCTATGCGGGGGCATCCTTGCTCTAGAGTTGGCACCTGTGTTTTGCCTTCTCTTCAGGGCCGGTGTCCCCGTCTGCTCAGACTGCCTGGCATGACGACAATAACGCAGCATGCAAATCACTGTATGCACAATGCACTGTATGCCTTCTGAACCACAACGCCTCTTCCCCTGGGAGCTGGGTCAGGATCATTATCCCAACTTTACAGGTGGGGGAACTGAGGCCCAGAGAGGTTTGGCAACTTCCTAGGAAGCCCAGGACCAAACTGGGAATGGATCCCGCATTCCCAACTCCAAGTCCTGTGCTCACTATGAACCTCAGGATCATTGCTCACTAGAAGATACTGTCTCCCTTTGACAGTACAATACAGTGGCCCCGTCAGCCCCAGACTCCTCCAGCAACGCCCATTGGACACGGAATACAGGGCACACATCCCATCCAGAGCCAGTAACAAGAGTCTGCTCTGAGGGCCGCGAAAGCAATGGAGCCGAGTGTTCCCGGAGGGGTTATGGGGGGGCCAGGCTGGAGGAGAGAAGGAAGGAACACAATTGAAATATGAACCCAGTCCCATCTCCCCAGCATCTCCATTTATTCTGCATAATTGCTTCATTTCCATGGCCAGCATGGCTGTGAATGAATTTCATTACCCAGCGTCTGCGATCCCATATTGATCACCAGGCTCCATCGATTCCTATCTCACTAATTAGCATATAAATTAGCCATTTGGGGAAGGCATTAGGAACAATTAAATTTCCTTTTCAATCTGGTTTCAGGAGGGTAAATGAGAATGGATGTGTCCGGCAGCCCCAGCCGCTGGGCTCACCCCATGGACCTGCAGAGCTCCGGGGTGGTCCGGGTCCCACTGTTTCTCATGGGACTAATTCTCTTATTGGTTGCACCAGCACTTGGCTCAGCTGCCCTCTGCTCAGGCTCCTGCAAAGATCCAGCTCAGCATGAGCATGCTCAGAAGTTTGGCACAGGGTCGCACAGCCATTCCCCTACAGAGGTAACATCCCACTGCAGGGATCGAACCTGTCATCTCTGGATCTTAAACTCAGAGTCTCTTCTGCCTTGAGCTAAAAAACCCAGCTCTGTCAGCTGAGGCTCAACAACCTCACTCTGTGGCTCCGCCACCACTAGAGGGGGACAGCGCGCCACATGGAGTGGGTGCGAGATTATCTGACTATATTGAACCATCTCACTTGCATTGGTGTTGGTAGCTATCTACAGGGCTCGTTCCTTCTCTGCAGCCCCTCTCCACAACCCGGCTGCTCTCCGCAGCTCTGCCACAGAGACAGCCTTAAGCAGTGCTGTCCCTTAATTGCCAAGGCTCTGCAGAGCTGGGGGATCACAGAGGAGATGACTTGCCACAGCCCCGCCCAGGGACCCGGCCTAGGATAACAGGACATAGGGGGTGGGAGGGTCAGTTATGTTGGCCGCAGTCCTTCGTTTCTGCTGTGCTCAGAATGTCCTACCCTTGGATTTTCAGACAAGAGATTTTCCCCAAAATTATAAACAAAACCCCAAAACCCCAAACTACCAGCTGGTAAGAAAATAGATGGGGGAAGAGGAGGAGTCCATGAAAATGTCACCTACATTTTTCTCTGCTTTTATGTTATTTTGTTTGCAGGAGCGTTTGTCAAAAGCTAGAAAACTCTTGGATTGAACAAACGAGAGGAAAATGTTGATAAAATCCCTTCCCCAGCCATTGCCCAACCAGCTCCAGCTGCCTCTCTGCAGATCAATTAATTGTGGCAAATTGCTGGCACTACTGTGATGGGTCTTGCGCTTTCTATTCTTGGGTGGGGGTTCAGGGCACCATTTCTTGCCCCTGAATTGGGCTATTAACTGCCCCACTAGTGTCCTAGAGAAGGGGAATGGAGAAGGAGGGACCCGGGCCCACCCTCTACTCTGGGTCCCAGCCCAGAGGCCCTAGGAATAGCGGTAAACCACTAGAACTAGCAGTTCCTTCCCCTGGGCTACTTCCCTCTCCTGCCCTTCAGCTTGTAGGGCTTCCTGCCCTCCCCCGGCACAAACCAGGTGTCCCTTTACCTAGGTTCTTGGTCTTCTTAGCCCACCACAACACTTCTCCAAACTCTCTTCCTTCATAGGATATCAGGGTTGGAAGGGACCTCAAGAGGTTCAACTAGGTTGAACCTAGTCCAACCCCCCTGCTCAAAGCAGGACCAATCCCCAATTTTTGCCACAGATCCCTAAATGGCCCCCTCAAGGATTTAACTCACAACCCTGGGTTTAGCAGGCCAATGCTCAAACCACTAAGCTACCCTGCTTCCCTCCAAACTGTTCTCTACTCCAACACCAATCCACTCTGCTTCAACTCCTACAAACTGCTCTCTGCTCCAACACCAATCCACTCTGAATCATAGAATCATAGAATCGTAGAATATCAGGGTTGGAAAGGACCTCAGGAGGTCATCTAGTCCAACCCCCTGCTCAAAGCAGGACCAATCCCCAACTAAATCATCCCAGCCAGGGCTTTGTCAAGCCTGACCTTAAAAATATCTAAGGAAGGAGATTCCACCACCTCCCTAGGTAACGCATTCCAGTGTTTCACTACCCTCCTAGTGAAAAAGTTTTTCCTAATATCCAACCTAAACCTCCCCCACTGCAACTTGAGACCATTACTCCTTGTTCTGTCATCAGCTACCACTGAGAACAGTCTAGATCCATCCTCTTTGGAACCCCTTTCAGGTAGTTAAAAGCAGCTATCAAATCCCCCCTCATTCTTCTCTTCTGCAGACTAAACAATCCCAGTTTCCTCAGCCTCTCCTCATAAGTCATATGTTCCAGTCCCCTAATCATTTTTGTTGCCCTCCACTAGACTCCTTCCAATTTTTCCACATCCTTCGTGTAGTGTGGGGCCCAAAACTGGACACAGTACTCCAGATGAGGCCTCACCAATGTCGAATAGAGGGGAACGATCACGTCCCTCAATCTGCTGGCAATGCCCCTACTTATACATCCCAAAATGCCCTTGGCCTTCTTGGCAACAAGGGCACACTGTTGACTCATATTCAGCTTCTCGTCCACTGTCACCCCTAGGTCCTTTTCTGCAGAACTGCTGCCGAGCCATTCGGTCCCTAGTCTGTAGTGATGCATGGGATTCTTCCATCCTAAGTGCAGGACTCTGCACTTGTCCTTGTTGAACCTCATCAGATTTCTTTTGGCCCAATCCTCTAATTTGTCTAGGGCCCTCTGTATCCTATACCTACCCTCCAGCGTATCTACCTCTCCTCCCAGTTTAGAGTCATCTGCAAACTTGCTGAGGGTGCAATCCACACCATCCTCCAGATCATTAATGAAGATATTGAACAAAACTGGCCCCAGGACCGACCATTGGGGCACTCCACTTGATACCGGCTGCCAACTAGACATGGAGCCATTGATCACTACCCGTTCAGCCCAACAATCTAGCCTACTTTCTATCCACCTTATAGTCCATTCATCCAGCCCATACTTCTTTAACTTGCTGGCAAGAATACTGTGGGAGACCGTGTCAAAAGCTTTGCTAAAGTCAAGGAACAACATCTCCACTGCTTTCCCCTCATCCACAGAGCCAATTATCTCATCATAGAAGGCAATTAGATAAGTCAGGCATTACTTGCCCTTGGTGAATCCATGCTGACTGTTCCTGATCACTTTCCTCTCCTCTAAGTGCTTAGAATTGATTCCTTGAGGACCTGCTCCATGATTTTTTCAGGGACTGAGGTGAGGCTGACTGGCCTGTAATTCCCCGGATCCTCCTTCTTCCCCTTTTTAAAGATGGGCACTACATTAGCCTTTTTCCCATCATCCGGGACCTCCCCCGATCGCCATGAGTTTTCAAAGATAATGGCCAATGGCTCTGCAATCACATCTGCCAACTCCTTTAGCACTCTCGGATGCAGAGCATCTGGCTCCATGGACTTGTGCTCGTCCAGCTTTTCTAAATAGTCCCAAACCACTTCTTTCTCCACAGAGGGCTGGTCACCTCCTCCCCATGCTGTGCTGCCCAGTGCAGTAGTCTGGGAGCTGAACTTGTTCGTGAAGACCAAGGCAAAAAAAGCATTGAGTACATTAGCTTTTTCCACATCCTCTGTCACTAGGTTGCCTCCCTCATTCAGTCAGGGGCCCACACTTTCCTTGACTTTCTTCTTGTTGCTAACAAGGCT